ATATATATATATATATATATATATATATATATATATCATTGTTGAGATGATCAATTAAATGGTTTTTCAACATTAAAACAACCTTTTCCGATGGAGTATTGAAGTGCATATGTAATTCTATATAGGTTGCAACCTTATATAATCTTTTTTTATTTATTTATTGCAACTTTGACTTCAAAACTAATTTTTATAGCAAAAATCTTAAGTCAAAAAGTCATAGTTTGAAGGGCAAAAATACCCTTGTCAGACCGAGGGCTACTTCTGGCGGATTGCTTCGTGTATGTGCCAGACCGTTCATTCAAAAAGTGCCTTCATGCCACATATAGTTGTCGGACCACTACAATTCAGTGCCAGACCGCCACCATAAAGTGTCGGACCGTCTTTGGTGAGTGAATGTCTGCGAGAATATGATGGCTTCATGTACGGATAAAGGTATTTTCATCCTCCAAACTATGACTTTTTGACTTGGTGGTATTTGCAATAAAAGTTGGTTTGGATAAAAATTGCCATAGAAAAAAGTTCAGTCTTGGGGGTTTTGTAGTTTTATGTGATAACCGTTGTTTCGACGAAAAAAAAAAAAAAAAATCTCAAAACCTTGTAACTTCTACTCATAAGAGAAAAATTTACCAAAAAAAGAAATTCTAAGTTCTCCTTCCCAAAGAAAGACACAATCAGATCAAACCAGAACTCACCAACCAAGCAACCCAAAAAGAAGGCCGATGCCGGCAACCCTGCAATGACCCGGCTTGAGCACGACAGTCCCCACTCGGAAACCGTCGAGGCCCACGCACCCCTGTCCCAGGCCCACATATCTGCTCCGATCTCGCACACCGAAGCTGGTCTGCCACACCCACTTGGGCTCGTGCAGTGCCATGTGGGCTCGGCATCGGTGAATATGCTTATGAATGTGTGCTGAGCATCAAAGCACCAGGCGAAGGACACAAGCAAGGTCTGGGCAAGCTGACCGGGCCCAAACGATCCCACATAATCTTCGATTGTCTGATCGATGGAGGCCTTATGATTCTCTGTTGTATGGCCTTCATGGGCCTGGGCTTGGTGGCCTTCATCTCGTTCTTCTTTCGTGTAGGTTAGAAAGGGGTCTTGAAGAGAGGAAGCCATGGATGGTACTTCAAAATGTGAGAGATGGGAAGGGTTTATAGATATTGCAGAAGAGGGCCCATGGTGCTTAACGAGAGAGAGAGAGAGAGCTGTGAGAGAAGAGAAGGATTTATGGATACACTAGGGGCCACGTGGTGTTACAGAGAGAGAGATGAGAAGGCGTTTGCAGAAGAGGTGAGAGAGAAGTGGATGGGACAAATCTGGTACGTTATTTTTATAGGCATGTTGACGTGGCTTATTAGCTGGACCTGATTCCATGAGCTGGATCATAGAACAGTGGTCATTTTCCTGCATGATTTGTGGTATGCTTGGGAATGAGAGAGAGAGGGAGCTGCCATTGAATATGTTTGAAATAACATTGAAGGTGGAGAGGGGCCTTGCATTAAAGGCTGCCTCCCCACAGTCTCTCAAAAGGGATCTAGTTGCCCAATTGGTTTGGAAGGACTGACTTGCACCCCCGCCGACCGATTTTCCCATGTGGGTATCGGTTAAAAAAATACTTTTGAATATTATTTAAAGGCAAAAGTTTATATAGAGTCTAGGCTCTAAACAATCAAATTGGAACCGATCATAAAAATTTCATTAGAAGAGGTTGTTTTGATGCCCAAATATCTTCAAATTGATCATCTCGATGTCCAGATGTATGGATTTGAGAAAAAAATAGATTTCAAGTTTTAAAAACAGTATATTTTGTAACGCATTTTTGGACCATCAATTTTAAAGGTTTTCATAGATCAGTCGATCTACACTATTTAAGTTTTCATAGATATGTTGATCTACACTATTTTTAAAGCTTTAAACTTTATAAATAAAAATGAAAATACATTTTAAGGCTATCATAAAGATTTCCAGTGTACAATCAATGTAAAGCGCACCTTCAAATAGCATCGAGAAATGTGGTTTCAATAGTGAAAATCTTTGTGATAGCCTTAAAATATATTTTTATCTTTAATTATAAAATTTAAAAGCTTCAAAAATAGTGTAGATCGAGCATATCTATGAAAACTTGAAAATCTTGAAAATTGATTGTCCAAAAACAGCGTTGGAAGACACATTATGTCCAAAACTTGAAATCCATTTTTTTCTCATGTCCATACATATTGATGTCAACATGATCATTTTAACGATATTTGGGCATCAAAACTATTTCTTCTAGTAAAATTTTTTAGGTGGGCTCTAATTTGAGTGTTTAGAGCCTCGGCTCTATATAAACGATTTCCTAAATTAAAAGAAAATTGTTTCATGCGAGCTGGACCGCATTTCTATAATATACGATCCAGACATATAAAGCATCCATCTTAAAGATGGATGCACATAGGTGGTCCATCTAAAAACAATTGCAATTAACGACTCAAATGTTTTCTTAATATAATTATTATTTATGATTTTCAAAAGAAAAAATTCATGTTCATGATCTCCATGTTAAATACTATACATTCTCTAAAAATTAGAATCAAATTATATTTAAAAAAGACAGTTGGCATATGGATGCAGTTGTAGCTGTAGAGGCAAGGTGCACCTTCAAATTTTATCATGACATATAATTTTGATGTAAAATGGTTTTAGGATTATCTCAAAATCTATTTTTATATCTAATTATAAAATATTAAATTTAAAAAAAAGTTAAAATCAAGTAGATCTATAAACATATGAAAATCTTGAAAATGAACGGTGCAGATAATATGTTGTAAAATGCACTATTTTTTAGACTTAAAATCTTTTTATTTTTCATGGTCATACATCTCGATGTCGAGATGATCAATCAAAATTCAACATTAAAACTACCTCTTTCGATGGATTTTTTAGGTGCATCCGTAGTTTTACATTATATGGTTGTTTTAAAGGAATTGTTTTCCTTTTGAAAACCACAAATCCGCGTTTCGAAAATAATGAAGGCTAGCCGCATGCTAACCGCGTCCAAATTAAAAATAGGTGAGAACTAGGCAATTAGGCTGATCTAGATTGCTCATGCCCCTCATAGACAACCCTGGTTTTCTGATAGCACTCGGCGAGTACCGATCCCCTAGTCGATGAAGAGATATAGTCTATCCCATTGATTCTCTATCTAGACTTTTGTTTTATAAAATATTGGTTCCATATGCTTGAAAATCGCAATGGAGTTAGTAGTTTCACCAAAACTGTTGTCTTTTAAAACTATTGTGCCTTTTAAAAAATATCTCATAACTATTGTGTGAAAGCTCTAAATCCAATGGGTTATTTTGATAAATAAAGCATGAAATAAACGTAACTGGTAGCAACCAAATAAGAAAAATAAACTAGGAAGAAAATAACAGAAAAAGAAAATAACAAAATTTATGTGGTTCATTACAGATGTGACTACATCCACAGGTGAGGATGATCGATCTTTTTCCACTAATCAACAAGATAAAAAAATTACAATAAACTCATATTTGAGAGAACCAGATAAGAAACTCATTCCCTCATAATGCCTCATCTCTATAATTTTCTCTCTCTAGAAAGCCCAATAGTTTTTTTTCTTTTCTTTTTGAACTCATTCTCTCTCTACAAAAGCAACTTTAATATATAAAAAAAGTAATGATCCTATGAGACTCTTACACACCCATGTATGTAAGATCCTAAAAGATAGCTATTAAATTTGACACAGATCTTTACAAAAGCTATTACATGAGCATGGGACTTGACTTTCCAAAACATCTGTACCAAATTTAATGGTGATCTTTTGGGATCCTACACACATGGGTGTGAGGGTCTCATAGGACCATTACTCATATTACAACAAACAACCCAAAAAGACACCTACCTATGACTTCCTTCTTTTCCCTAACTTTCATGAGAAACTTATCATTATCTCTTTAAATATCGGCCCTCAAGTTCATCCTTATCCAAATGGAATTACCCCCCATAAACTCCAACATAATAGAAAATTAGATAATGATAATCCTAAAATAATAAAACACCAAAAAATAGGAACACAATCGTTTAAAATTACAGATTCAAGACAAATCGTAACAAATCTTCACCTTTGTTTGAATTCCAAAATAGAGTCCCATCGACCGTCTTCTCCATACGCATCCCCTAGGCACTTACGTAGACAATACATTAGTCAAGTCCAAGCACAACTTGAGCTCCTGTAATAGAAACGGTTTTGTCAGTATATCCACAACATTTTTCTAATAGAAACGGTTTTGTCAGCATATCCACAACATTTTTCTTGTAAACTCAATTACATCCAATGAATTGATTGTTTTTAGGCAACTTCACGAGATCCTAAGTATGATTTTTTATAAAAGACTTCATTTTTCATCCATGACATCATTTCACCTGCTAATGTCAATATCATGCATAACTTCCTTAAAAGTTGATGTCGTTTGGCTTGTGGTAGCCAATTCATAAGCCACCATATCTTCAAAACCGTACTGCACCACTGACTCTTTTATTCTTTTCTCATTCCAATCTGAGACACTTGCTCAAGTGGAGTAGACTCAATGATTTTCTCATGGTCAACATCTTCTTCATATTCACAAGGACTTTTTGACATAGATTTTAGATTTTTTTTTTCTGTAGTTATCAATTCCACCTCAACTATAGCATTGTTGTGGTTTTTTTTTTAACACCTTTCTGAATGTACTTTAACATGGCAGACACATCAAACTTAATATCACAATTGATAACAAATTTAGGGTACTTGGGATTTGGGCACCACTGTCTGTAGCCCTTAACTTCATCTGCATATCTAAGGAAAATACACATCTTTGATTTGGGACTCAACTTATCATTCTTCACATGAACATCTGCATATCTAAGGAAAATACATATCTTTGATTTGGGACTCAACTTATCATTCTTCACATGAACATAAAGCAGGACAACCAAAAATTTCGAATACTCATTTCAATTTGATTCAGAAAGTTTCTAGGAACTTTATAAGAGATTGAACTTTTTTTTTTTTTTGGTTAAGTGGGAAGAGGGCCCCTACCTTAGTTAGGAATTGAGCTTAGGACGAGCTTTGCAAATCGTCAAGTCAATGGGGAGAGGGCCCTTATCCTTGATAGGAATTGAGCCTAGGACGTAACATTACAAATCCTCCGGCGCTAACCAATTAAGCACCGGCTCTTTTACATATGTGAAAGTGCTATGATGTTTGTCACTGTAGGCAATATTCGTGTGATCCATGGCACGTATAGGGTGCGTTTGATTTTGGAAAGTTTTTAAAATTGAGAACTCCCACTTCCATGTTTGAAAATTATATTGCGGAAGTAGATCCGGGGAAAGGCGCCTTCCACGTGTCACTTTTGTATCGTCAAAATGGGGTTGGAGACACCGACCGACGAGAAACTTCAATTGCGGAAGTAGATCCGTGAAAAGGCTGTTCCACGTGTCACTTTTCTAACGTCGGTTTGAGACACCTACGGACAATAAACTTCAAAAGTTACATTGGTTCATGTTGATGAGGAATGACATTGTGATGGTTAATGGTGGTTATATTTTTTTACTTGATACCTTCGCATTCCCATGCGTTTGTGCTTCACATACTCCACTATGTACTTTCGGTCTCTTTACTTTCATGAACACTATGTATGGTAAAAGGAAAATATTTTTTGGGTTAGTCAAGGCAATTCTTTGAATGTTATTAATTGGTCTCACTTTATAACAAGATTCTCATTGAAATTGAGATCGAAGTGGACGGAGATGATGGATTTGGTGCGTGGCATGAATGTGACTTTTTACCTTGTGTATAGGGAGTGAATAAGGAGAGTAACATATCAAAGGGCATGAATAGTGAGATACAAGGATGACCATATATGGGCCGATATACCCTTGATAGTATCTTCTCTTTTGACATGTCTACATATTTTTCTTTATTAAAAACAAATATATAAGTTTTAAGGTCAGAATCAAATGTATTCGGCTTATTTTCATTTTCTTTGCTTATGTAAATTGTAACATAGGATTAATCATGTGGAATTGTTCTGTTCCCAATATATAAATATAAAAACCTATGTTTCTATAAATATAAAAACACCGAATGTGATTTTCTCTAGTCTTTGTTTGGAATTTAATGTTTGTTTAAACATTTTTAAACATCCCACTTTTCGGAGCGTCCAAATATCTAGTGACTCCACTGGGGAACAATTCACGTTTCATCTCTGGTTGGGTCTAGGAAGTTGATCCTCTCTCTAG